TATATTTTATAAATAACTTTATTTGTTAAAGCAAAATAAAATAATGATTTTTTATCTAATAAATTAGATATCTTAATAAATATCTCAATTGGTATTTGATCCATTTGAATATTAATATTTTATTCAAAAATGAATAATTTTTTATTATATAAAAATTAAATCTGTTAATGAAATAATAGTATATATTTATATTTTAAAATAATTAATAATATTTTTAATCAATAAAATAAGCATATAATTTTATTTTTTTAATTTTAGAAAAATCTTTTCAAATTCTATTACAATCATCATAGATTTCAAATTCTTATGTTCATAAAATTTATCAGTTAATTTACATATATTATCTTTATAAGAAATATTCAATTTTGATTTATGATAAATAGTTATATTTAGACAAATTATATTTTCTAAATTTTTCATAATAAATGCAATATTATTTATATCATAAATAGAATCTGTTATTGAAAGTTCTTTGAGATTTTGTAATAAAATAATATTAATATGTAAATTTTTATCATAAACATAATTCAATGTAAGATGTGTTATTCTTAAAGCTTTTTTAAACAAAATTGAATAATCGATATATATACTATTTAAACTTAATTTCTTTAAATTATCAATATTTTCAAACTTATTAAAATTAAAATAAGGACAATCTCTAATAAAAACATGTTCAATTATTTTGGAATATTTTGATATCAATTTAATCATAAACTCAAGAGATTTATTACCCATTACCATTTTTATTTGAATCGTATTGATTATTTTTATATATTGAAGATAATTAAAAAGAGTGTATGGATATGAATATGTAATAATACATTTTGAATAAAAATGTTTAAATTTATTTTGTTCATCAGTATTCATATTATCATAAATTGTTTGTTTTAATGAATGTTTATTATAAAAAGGATGACTAAATGGATCTTGCCATAAAATTGGAATAGTGATACTTGACCAAAGTTTTGATACCATAATACAATTAAATAATGATTTCATATCATAAACAAATATCATAATAATAAAAAGTATTTCATTAGGAATTTTCATATTTGTAATTGTTAATATCAATATTATAAAATCTATTAAATTTATAAAGAGTTATAAAGAATTTTATATATATTTTTAATTAATAATAAACAAAGAATCATTTGAATAATTAATAATATTTTATTCAATTAATAAAGATAAATATAAAATATAAAAAAAATGAATAATATAAAATAAAATTATAATTAAATCAAATAAAGTACAAAGATTATGTGTTTCAAATACTAAATTATGTTTATAAAAAATTTTTGCTATTTTAACATCTTTGTTTAAAAATAAAAATTCATTATTAATAATTTGAAATTTTTCATTATTGTTAAAACTAATAAAATTATAAGAAAAATCATCTAAAAGATTATCAATAATTTTTAATAATTCATCTTTAAGAAAAAATTTCATTTCATAACCATTATTTACTTTAAGAAATTCAATATTAAAATAATTTCCATCAACTAAATAATGAAAACAAAAACTTTTATTTTGTAAATATTTTTCATTTTTGATTGATTTTGATTCATATTCAAAAGAAGTTTTAGTATTTTCAATATGTGTTTGGTTTAAAGATTTTGAATAGAGTTTTGTATAAATTTTTAATTGTTTATAAACTTCTTTATGTTTCTTATAGTAGTGATCCATAATACACTTATGTTTATTTTTAGGATTACGAAATTTATAATTACACTCTTCCTGAATACAGGAAATAGATCCATTTTCTTCAGTTTTATAAAGAGATATAGTTTCAGACATAATTAATTTAAATTTTTAATAATTAATTTTTTTGAATTGTATTTATAATAAAATAATATTATTAATCAAATAAAAAAATAAACAATTTAATAAAACAAAAGTGTTCAAATTTTTGTTGATTCTACTCATGAAAAAATTGAAAAAATCGACAAAACAAAGTGTCCACAAATTTGTTAATTCTGCTCATGAAAATTCGCTTAAAAATTCTCTCAAAAATACCCTTTAAAAAAACCTTTATTCCTAAACATCACTGTTATTTTATTGGTTAATTTTGTGTTTGTAAGCTGACCAAAGGTCAGCTGGTTTGAGATTGAACAGCGAAAGCTGTTCTATCGAATGAGACTATGACTTGGTCATAGTCGCTGAAGCACGTGGTGACATTCAATCGTCGATTAATGTCAGAGATCGACAGGCAACGCCTTTCGATAATGTTACCACGTGCTTCAGCATTCTTAAGTTAGAAAGATCTTCCATTTTCTCAAAACTAGTTCTTTAAGTCGAAAAAAAGTGCAAAAAATTGTGACATTTAAGGGTTAAAGCAAACCAAAAAAAAAAATAAAGTAAAAATACTAAAAACAAGGTAAGATAAATAGGAGATAAATTAATTAGAGTCGAAAAAAATGAAAAAAAGTCATGTGAAAGTCATGTGCAATCGAAATTTTTGATTTTTTTTAATTAGTAAAATTTTTAATGTTTCACAAATGTGTCTGAATTTTTAATGGAGGTGTATTTCGATGAACTTTTTTAAATATCACAGTGATTTTAGAAAAATAAACACACCAAAAAAATTCTAAAAGAAAAATGGAAAATGTTTTCCGATAAATTAAAAATAAAATCTAATATTAATAATACTAAAAAGATATAAATAAGACAAAAAATATTGTTGATTAAATTCAGATGATATGTCTAATTCAATATCTTTAAACAAGATGCCTACATTTATTGAATCTTTAAAAATTGTTATTAAATATTCTTGGTTAAATTTATTGTTGTTATGTCTTCCATTTGGTGTATTAGCGAATTTTTTATTTCATTGGCCAGATGTGATTATTTTTTTATTTAATTTTTTAGCAATAATTTCATTATCAAATTTATTGAATTTTTCAATT